ACACTAAAATGTGCCGGTCTCATGAGGCTTTTGAATCTTACTTAGCCTTCTCTCTCTCAAAAGCATGACAAATTCCGACTGGACGACAGTTTCGATCTCGCCTGAGCTGGCCTCATCAGCGCCCTCAGCGGGCGCCACGATACTCACGACCAGGTCATGAATTGGGCTGGTGAGGCGAGGTCAAAACTGCCGCCCAGTCGTAAAGACAAAAGTAAACTACATCCTGAGGCCTACTCATTTGATTGCGAAAAAAATTAAATTATCAGACCTTAACTCACTTTACGCGACTATGGCTGACTATTTTGTTGTTCAGGCATTACTAGTAGTCTCGAAATCGGCTTATATCGAAAAAAGGTGTGATTAAGTTTTTGTGAATAAAAATGGGGTCTCGATTAATCGCTTAGTTTACAAGTGTTGAAATCTCTTCAATTTCAAACGGCCGCAGTACAACGGGATTCATCCGTCTTCTTCTGGTGAGATCGGCCTACGAATATCTTCTTCATGCCATTTCATACGAAATGAAAGTCCCCCCAACAAACTTTTCTTCGAAAACGTATCATACCATATGGATATATGGTATACATTCTTAGACAAACGAATCTCTTAGTTCATAATTGTTGAGCCCATTTACATTCAGAGCGAAAGTGTATGTTTCAGAGGTGATCTCACCAGAAAATGACGGCCAATTCTTCCGTTAGATTTCTTGTTGAGCTCACCTTCATTTAAAGTAAAAATGCTTGGAGAAGAGATTCGGCATTAAAACCCATCTGCTTCGAGTTCGGTGAAAACATGTGGGACAGTGTCATCAAGAAGGTTCTGGTAAGGCTAACCAACAGCTGGTCAGGAGGAATCTGCTGACGTCTTCTTATGGGATCAAGCTTGAAATTTGGAGAAAGGATACGGATTTAAATGCCATCTCCTTTGATTTCGGTGAAAACATGTTGACCTTTCGTCCGTCGCGTAACGGACATCGTCAGATAAGAGAAAGTGTCAACCTTGCAACCCAATTCAAGCTCACTGGCTTATTCCCAAATACTCTGTATGCACAAAACGATTTGGTTAGTGATTATAATGACATGCGGGATGAAGGGTTGAATCATCTCTTTCTCTGCTGATGTCCGTCATAGGACGAAGAAAGATGAACCAGTTTTCATTGTAAATAGCAGCAAAAAAGATGCTTCATTAAAGTTCATCGACAGCTAGCCAAGAGGAATCTTAAGGCATTTTCTGGTGGCATCTACCTTCGAATCGCTGTCTTTTTTTGATAACAATTTATACCATATTTATGATGGTAATGTATGCATGTGATGAAACATTTGGTTACAATACGTCTTTGGGTTCCTAATCGCCGAGTTGCATCGGCTCAAAAGGTCGAGTATAGTTGCAAGAATGATGTCCCCAATATGACCGACGAAGGAGACTTCATCTGGAACAGTGTTGTCAAGACGGTTCAAATGGGATCAAACTGAAAATGTCTTTATCACATAATACCTCCTGAGATGTCTGTCATAGAGGAGCGAGGACTGCTTGAAATAAATCTACATTCCTATTTTCCACACGCCAATCCTGTTTCCGGTTCGGTTGAGACAAAAGTGCGAATCCCGTCTTTTCAGAATACAATAACTTGTACCTCAGGACTTGTCCACCCTTTTCGTTTTTTGCAATTGGCCAATAAGATGAAGAATAGTCCATTTCCGAATCCCCTCAGATTTGGTGTTCGATGCGCTGGCCGTGAAGCTGCGCGCCGAGAAGAGGGCCGTCTGCGAGAGTCTCGACGAGGCCACCGCCTATGCCACCTTCTACGCCAACGCCTCGAGTCGAGCTCGCATTCTGCCCTGGACACCGGAGTTGAGGCGTCTTGTGGAGACCGGTCGCGCAGCCGATCTACTCGCCGCCTCGGACACCGCTGGACCGGGTGATGGCGAAGCAGACGACCCAGCCGAGACGCCCCTCCTCGGCGACCAGTCGTCCGCGAGTGCCGCCAGCAGCAGCAGCGTCGTCGTCGTGGAAACCGGCCTTGATGATGGCGATTTGGCAACTGGCGGCGACGGTAGTCATCCGACGGGCGAATGGCCGGTCGGCCAACCGCAGAGTCTCTGGCTGGCCGTCACCGCCGGACTCGTCTTGTCGGCCAGCGCTGGACTCCTCGGCGTCACTCTGCTCCTCTTCCGTCGTGTCGTCTACCAGCGCGCCAGACACACAGCCGTACCAGCCGACAGCAGCGCTGGCATCGAGGTTGGCGTCGGTGTCGGCGTCGGCGTCGGCGTCGACGTTCGACTGCTCGAGCCGGACTCGGCCTCGCGCATGCTTCGTCCCGATGACGACCGACTCGCTTCGGCCAATCTCGTCATCGCTTCAGGGGACTCTCGGTCGACGGTACCATTCAGCCCGGACGAC